AATACCTTTCCATTCTGTAAATATTAGCCATCAAGCCATGCATGTCGTTTGAATACATCAATGAAAACTTTCCCAAAGTGCATTTTGTTGTATCATAATTTATTTCAATTTGAAACTCGAAAGAAGAGATAGTATCTTGTTCAATTTCTTGAAATTAATCCCCAATTCATTTGTGGAATATCAAATTCACAGATAAATATAAGAAAATCTACAAAATGAGCCAACAATACTCATTTCATTTCAACAATAGAGCATTAAAAACGCCCTACAAATGTTTCTTTAGTTTGGTGAACGTGCAGAAAAACAAGTGTCCATTTCTCCAAAGGACGAAACCCATAAAAGCAGAGCACCTTCATTGAATTATTTCTAACTTATAGCACACTTGTGCCCTTCAAGCTACAAGATGCTACTATGTTATCCAAATTCTTTTCCTATTTCTGTAAATTATGCAGGATCCCTCAAAATTTGTAGACCATTTCTTTTGTATATCCAAGTTCCTTGAGTATTCCACTTACCTGCAAAATAGGAAACCGGTGCAACGAATCAATAATGATGAATTAAGTCAACACCAAATAGGAATACTGATGTGGGTTATCATAGAAAGTTAGCAACATCATGCGAGAAGCCACCTTAGGCAGCTCAATCATATACTCATTCCGCCCCCAAAATATAGGGTACAAATCTATATTAGGTCATCTCAAAGTAAAAATCCAATAAATGATACTGGTAGATAGTTATGGTATATTTTCTATATTATTTACTCTAAAAATGCACCCTATTAGCTAAGGATGGAGGGATTAGAAGTCTGAAGTAAGTCTTAAGACTATAGTTTAGGTTCGTAAATGTTTAAGCCGTTAATGTAGCAACATAAGTGTTTTTAGTACCTCTCCTTGAGAGTAATCTTTAGCCTTGTCTCCAGATATTTTTTGCATCATACCAGGAGGACCACATACCTGGAAATCAAAGAACAGATGAAAATTTGAACACTTGAGAGAGAAATTACTAACATGCTTAGGAACAAAGGCTTCAATTCACCTGATGTAGACGAAAATTCACAAACCATTGACTAATAGTTGAAAGAGCTATGTTTATCTTACCATGATGAGAGTATCGTCCCCAGGACCAGGTAAGCCTTTTGTGACAACATCCTTTGAGACATAGCCTACCCCGCCTCTCCAGTCCTTTGATGGATTGTCAACAATGTAGAATACCTATATATTTTTCATTGAAACCTTCAGCATCCCAATTTGTCATACTTGATGACAGAATTTGGTCAGTAATCAAACAACAGTACCTTAAAATTAGGGTGGCTAGTGGCAAGTATGTCAAGCTTTTGCTTCAGTAAAATATCATCAGGAGAGACATTTACATAGACCAGTGATACCTGTAAGATCAATTGATAGCTAATAACTATAAAAAACCAGATTCATAATACTCGTTTTTTTTTTTGACAATATTATAAAATTATTAGCCCTTTTTTCAAGTAAAGCCCCATACAAAGGAATGCTGAAACAGATTTTATACATGGTACCAAAGAAAAAGGGTAGCTAACTTGAGTTTTATCATCTGGATTCTTCAGGATAGCCTCAGCTACTTGAAGCATTGGAGTGACACCTGTCCCACCAGCAATCTGTTGCCAATTACAAGTACACAAAACATCAACCCACACAATACTTTTCATCTCATAAGAATATTTCACAGAAAAATAGGAACTAATAAGTTCATGTCACAACTATAAATAATGAGGAGTTTTCAAGTAGAGAGGATAAAGCCAAAGTTAACTACTAGTAATATTTTCTCATTTGAAACCCTATGTCAGATCTAACAAATTCTCAAAAAGGATATCACATTCCAAGCCGATGTGTTTCTTACCATGCCGATGTGTTTCTTCATGTTGGGAGTATACATGAGCTTCTCAATGGGTCTGCACAAGAATTCAAATAAGCAACTTGATCAATAACTGCACTAAAATCCTAACACTAGTAGAAAAAAAGAAATAGGCAACCCCCCTACGGCAACGGTTTATGAAAACCGTTGCTAACTTCATTGAGCGCCATTTTTAATATCCCCCTTTGGCAACGGTTAACCGTTGCCAACTTCCCCCAACACCTATGGCAACGGTTAACCGTTGCCAAATATAAATATTTTTTTTTTAAAAAAAAAAGGGGGGGAAGAGTTGGCAACGGTTAACCGTTGCCATAGGTGTTGGGGGAAGTTGGCAACGGTTAACCGTTGCCAAAGGCGTTGCCATTTTAAAAAATTAAAAAACGCGCACTCAGCTTCTACATACGTACTGTAGCCTATTGCATTTCTCCATTTTCGCTTGAAACCTCCAAAAACGCGCGCCATTGAAGCTCAATTCACTCCATTGAAGGGTCCATTGAAGCCATTTTGGTTCCTCATCAAGCAAGCGCACTCACTTCTTCTGTTCTGGGCTAGCTTGTTCTACTCCTCACGCATTCTCATCTCTTCTGTTCTAGGGTAAGTTCATCTCTTCTGTTCTACTCCTCACGCGCACTCACCTCTTCTGTTCTGGGCTTGTTCTACGCCCCAAACCATTATAGCTTCAATTATTTGCATTTGAATAAAGTTGTGGTGGTTCATTTGAATAAAGTTCTGGGCTTGCACTTGATTGTGGTGGTTCATTTGCGAAAATCGGCTATTTGAATAAAGTTGTGTGCTATTTGAGTAAATTTCTCCCTTTTCTTTTGAATGAATTAATTCCATTGTCTCCTGCAAACAACAGTGTGCAAGATGACAGCCCCCTCATATGGCTTTTTTCTTCTTTTCTGGCTACTCCTGAATTTCATCGTAACTGCCTCCACTGCTCTAACTGTATGTTAACTGTTGTATGTTATATGCTGTATGCTTGAATGCTGTATCTTTGGTGTGAATGAAGCAAGCTAGAAAAAAAGAGACTAAGAGGCATAGTGTGTACTTGCATTTGAGTTGCAATAAGCTTATATGGAGTAGTTAAGAAGTTTTTTCACTTCGATAAAGAATGTGGGTTATTATCATAGAGGGTGGATGTCTTTGTCGTTTGCATTTGAGTTGCAAAAAATTATATTGAGTAGTTTGTTATTTCTCTTCTTTGTTTACTTCCTTTTAAGGGTTGCTTAGTTTTGGAGAGAGAAGGGGGGTGGGGGGGGGGGGGTTGAGGGTTGAGGGTTTAGGGTTTAAGGTTTACGGTTTAGGGTTAGGGTTTAGGGTTTAGGGTTTAGGGTTTAGGGTTTAGGGTTTGAATATACTTTTCTTTATGAGTTGCTTCTCACTATATATATGCGTGTTTCAGGCTAAGAAATGGGTGTCAAGGGCTTCTAGGGTAAGATTATCAGTTTGGAGAGTGGGCGGAAAACATCCTGGTATGGTATATCTTACTCTGACTGTCCTTGTTCTTGCATTGCTCACTAATATCATTCTTATCTTTTCCCTTAATCTGGTTTTCTATTTGTGTTCTATATAGGTTACACTGAAAAAGATTATCAGGAATTTTTGGGCGAAGCATAGACCTTGGCATTGACCTTCTATTTGAGAGTGTTGAGCCTTTATAGGTACTCAGGTATATATATATAACTTTATGTGCACAATTTTTTAATTTGGAGATGGTGTGTGATATAACTTTGGTGCATCTTCTATCATGATGTGTGATTAAACCATTGGTTTTTAATTGATTGCATGTATCATCATATGCCTAGATACCCGTTCAAGGCTTTCTCATTAGGAGAAAGTCTTGAATAGTCCCCGGTTGGGACTGTTCTTGAACGTTTACTCTCACTTAGGTGGTGAATGTATGTCAGTTTTTTCGATTTTAAGGAACATCTTGGCTTAGCATTTCCTGGATCACCATGTTCTCTGGGTACATATGTGGGTAAGTAATTACCTACGTCGTGTACTTGGAGAACTGGGGGGAAATGCTGCCGGATTTTCCTTAAAATTGGAAATCTGATATACATTCACTAGTGAGAGTAAACGTTCAAGGATGGGTTAGGTTGGAGTGATAAGGACCCTTTGGAAGCATATATGCATTTTTGTATCTATATGAATGTTATATGCATGTTGTGTGTTTGAATTTGATTTGTATATATAATTGATGTAGCAATTATACATTATTCGTAATATGTTGCCATGTTTAGAGACAATTTACTTAATGGAGAGGGATCGTGGATGGATGTATGGTAGACGTGATACATTGGAATTCTTTAATGGGGTTCAAGAGTTCTGCGAGACGGCTTCATCTTATCAGCGCAGAATGGGTTTCGAGTGCCTCTATTGTCCTTGTGTTGATTGTAATAATGTGAAGGTGGTCAATAGTGTTGATATCATTAGAGATCATGTAGTTTGTCGTGGGTTTAGGGTTAAATATCATGTGTGGATTTGGCATGGTGAAGAAGGAGAGTACAGTGGGGATGTTATTGGGTATGATGTTGTAGACACCTAATTCGGTGTCTCCCAAAATGAAACCCGATGATGAAGGTTACATACTCGTTACAGTTACAATTGATGTGAATTCGCAAGGTGTGCACGGTTTTCTAAGCTTTGCCTAATTTCCACCCAAACCCTTAAACCATTAGCCCAAATTATTGTTCGTGTCTTAAAACCCTTAAATATCCATTTTCATGCCTTCTTGTAATGATCCATGATTTAAGTCCAATAATTAAAGCTTAATTGAATAAAGTCCAAATGCAATGTTTTAAAGATCGGATTAGCCCAGAAAAAACGGTTTATTATTTGGGTCTGATTCCTTTTCCATTGGATCGGGCTTGGAAAGAGATTTCCGGCAATATATTATGAGCTCAATTCCGAGTTATATTTTGAAAGTTATGGCTTTTTTACTGAACCCGGTCCAAGCTGCTACGAGAAAGACATTACGGGATTAATTAAGAATTAAGCCCAAATTATGTAAGTCCAAAATAATTAAAATCTGATTAAGCCCACATATTTAATCAGGTTTGTGATTATTTAATTTCCATGATTTTTATTAGAATTATTTATTAAATAATTCTTTTAATTATTAGAAAGCTAAATTGTTAATTTTTATCCTTTCAACAAATGGAAGTTTTATCTTCTTGATTTTATTTTGAAACTTAATATTAAATCACCACCTTTGATTTAAAGATAGAAAATTACATAATGGCAGCCTAAATCTGATTTTCAAAGGCTCAAAAGATTAATTTTCCATTTGGTTATCTATTTTCAAGATTAAAATATTATTGAATCTTGAAATCGGAATTTCCATACAGCAGTTCGGTAAAACTTTTACTGGGAACGTTTGGCTGGGAATCTGAAGCTGAAATTTTATATGTAGATCATAAAAACATTTATCTACATCGTGTCAAAATTTCAAGATTTTTGGATAAGAAACGAATCCTGTACGATTTTTACAAGTTGGTTGTAGTTTTAAAATCCGATAATTAACATGGCCGACTTTATTATATTGTGAAAGGATTAATTCTCTTTATTTTATTATTTGACTAAGGAAAATAGTTATTAATTATCTTCCTTAAATTAATTTGCAGTTATTTGGATTTAATTTGGATGGTTAAGTATTTTGATGATTATTATTAATAATTATCAATAATTATTTAATCTAGACCACTGGATTCAAATTATTCATTCTAAGCCGTTAGATTTATTTCATGGATCAATATCAACCTCTTGATGTGGCCAGCTATCTTGATTAAATTCTTCAATGATAATTATTTTTTAAATTAATCAATAATTATCCTTTGCTAAATTATTTTTCAACCAATAGAATTATTTTATTAAAACACCAAAATTTCTTATTGGTTGGCCAAGTCTCCTAACTAGTTTAAGCCACCAATTCTCTTCTATCTTTTCTACCATCCTCACCCTATAAATACCCAAGTCTTTCACCCTCAAATGACACACACAACAATTAATCAACCAAAAATCTCTAGAGTTTTGTATTGACAAACTCTCCTCTTCTCTCTCTTTCTCTTAGTTACAAAACCCCTTAGGACCTTGCCTCACGCACAAATCAAACACCACGCACAATCGAAAAACCGCAGCTTATTAAGCTACAAACCGCCACCTTTCACAGCAAACCGCCACCTATTCTTCACCATTGCGCCACAGCGTTGTTCCCTTTGCGATTCACATCTTTTGAAGCCCAAACGTAAAAGGTTTTAACCTGAGGGTTTCATCAACTCAATTTAATATTTTTATTATTTAAATTAATTATTTTAGTTTATTTTAATTATTTAATTATTTAAGCTTTGATTATTATTTTTCCTTGTCAATACTAACGGTTTATTTGCGTTGTTGGATTTTAGCAATAAATCAACGCACTCGAGGTGGGTTTTCTCTTAACTCCCTTTTTTCGATTTTATTAGTGTCATGCTAGGCTTTTAATCTTATTTGTTATTATTACGTGATATGAGCATGTTTATACTTATTTGTGATGCTATGATTTATTCGCTTTAATTATTGTTGTTGTTCATTATGTCTAAAAGTATCATTGATACTTGGACATATATGATTTATGGTTGAAATTATCGATATTGCTTCGTTATATTTAGACATAATTTATGTCTGGAATATTTATGATCATGTATATTGATTCATCTAGTAAAAAGAGCATAACACATTGTAATTTACAATGAAATATGCACATAAGGATAAAGAACATGTAATTGCAATCACTCTAAATCAGATAAACTAATAATATTGCTTAGTCTAAAATTTGATTAAATCGAAGCGATCACTTAATAATAGGATTACATGTGCATCTAAGATAGTCCTTAAAACACCTAGACTTGTTAGTAATAGGTTAAGGTTAAAACGTTGCAATGAATTGACTATAATGTATGCCATATACGCAAGATGTTCGAGTAGAGGCCAATTTAGGCGAATACGGCCTACGTGGCTTATGTTCGTACCTTCAATCCCCGAATCCTATTTCTTTGGTTACAAACCAGTAAAAATGGGTCGATCCGGCCTAATAGTGCCCGCGATCAGGGGTGTAACTAGGTCGTATGACCGGTTATGAGTTATCCCAAACTCATTGGCGACTCCGTCTAACATTTCAATATCATTCACGGTGACTAGCCAAAGGGTCATCGTAACACATGACACCAACAGTAGGGCGAAACGTAAAAGTTACGCAAAAATTCCCTACAGATGTGCATGATGATAGAAGCAATAATATCCGTGTGGACGAGGAATACAAGAATGATGAACATATTGATGATGATGGTGCTGAGGAGGGATTTAAGGATGATCATGAGGATGAGGTTGATGATGAAGGTGTGGATGAGATGATGCGTGGTTTTGAAGGTGACGTGTTTGAGTCATTATCGGAGGCTTCTAAAAAGCCTTTGTATCCTGGGTGCACAAAGTACTCCAAACTATCAGCCGTGCTAACTCTTTTTAACATTAAGTCGAAGCATAGGTGGACGGACAGTAGTTTTACTTCCTTGTTGAGCGTGTTAAGTGAGATGCTGCCAGATGGGAATGAAATTCCTAAGTCTTACTATTACGCTAAAAAGCTCATGTGTCCATTTAGTTTGGAGTATAAGAAGATACATGCATGTCCTAATGATTGTATTCTTTACCGAAATGAATATGAAAAATTGGAGGAGTGTCCAAGATGCAAGAAGTCGCGCTACAAGCGCAAGAGTTGCAATGCTGGTACGAAGGGACCTCCTGCTAAGGTGTTGTGGTATCTTCCCATAATTCCTAGGTTTAAGCGTCTGTTCTCTTTACCAAAAGACGCTAAAAACCTGAGGTGGCATGCAGAGGGAAGAAAGAAAAACAGAATGCTGAAGCACCCAGCTGACTCCCCGCAATGGAAGAACCTTGATATGAAGTTTGGGGAATTTGGTGATGAAGTCAGAAATTTAAGGCTTGGTTTGTGCACGGACGGGATGAATCCATTTGGCACTCTTAGTACCCAGCACAGCACATGGTCGGTACTTTTAGTGATCTACAATTTGCCTCCTTGGTTGTGCATGAAACGGAAATATGTAATGTTTTCACTCTTGATATCGGGGCCAAGGCAACCTGGAAACGACATTGATGTGTATCTTGCGCCATTGGTTGATGATTTGAGAAAGATGTGGGACGAAGGGGTTTCCGTGTTTGATGCTCATAAGAATGAGATGTTCACATTGCGTGCAGCTCTTATGTGGACCCTTAATGATTTTCCTGCATATGGCAACTTGTCTGGGTATAAGAATAAAGGGAAAAAGGCATGTCCCATTTGTATTGATGATACGCCAAGCAGACGCCTGGATCATTCTTTCAAGGAGGTGTATTTGAGGACAAGAAGATTGCTGAGGCGCGATCACCCGTACCGTCGGCAGAAAAAGGCTTTCGATGGGACGGTGGAGGAGGGGACTGCTCCTAGGCCACTGACTGGTGAGGAGGTTTACGCTCGGGTCAAGGGTGTACGAACAGTATTTGGGAAATCTGAAAAAGCGGCGGAATCAGTTGCTCTCTTTAAAAAAGAATCAATATTTTGGTTGCTCCCGTACTGGAAAGAACATGACGTTAGGCACTGCCTTGATGTAATGCATATAGAGAAGAATGTGTGTGACGCTCTTGTGGGAACGCTGATGAATATTCAAAACAAGACAAAGGACGGAAAGGGTGCACGTTTAGATTTGGAAAAGATGGGGGTGCGTCCAGAATTGTGGGTTCAGCAAAGGGTTAGTAAGGGAAAGGAACAGGAAAAGGAAAAAAGAAATGGGTTCGACAAAGGGAAAGGGGAAGAGCAAGGAAAAGGGAAAGGCCTCGAATGCGTCGAAGAAGAAAAATGAGGGAAAAGCCAAAGAGGGGAAGGCCTATTTACCTCCGGCTTGCTACACATTGTCAAGGGTAGAAAACGGAGGTTTTGTGAATGTCTGTATGGCATTAAGGTTCCATCAGGGTACGCATCTAACATGAAAAGATTTGTATCCTTAAATGGAGAATTGAAGCTGACAAGTATGAAATCCCATGATTGTCATGTTCTGATGCAAGTTTTTCTACCAATTGCAATACGTGGTATTTTGCCAAAGCACGTGAGGGAAGCTATTACAAGCCTCTGTTCGTTTTTCAATACAATATGTAGCAAAGTGCTTGATCCTTGTACCCTTGATGCTTTACAGGCGGATGTGGTTGTGACTTTGTGCAAATTTGAGATGTACTTCCCGCCCTCGTTTTTCGACATAATGGTGCATTTGATTCTTCATTTGGTGCGTGAGATTAAGTTGTGCGGTCTAGTGTTCTTGAGGTGGTGCTATCCTTTTGAAAGACACATGGGTACATTGCAAGATAAAGTTAGGAATCGGGCTCACCCGGAAGGAAGTATGATTCAAGGGACCGTGGCCGAGGAGATTGGTAATTTTGTGGCCGACTACATAGCCGTTGCTGAACCTATTGGTATTCCTACTTCTCGACATGAAGGTAGACTTGATGGTCATGGCACAATCGGGTCGAAACGAATGTCACCTGATCGAGAGAAGTTCTTACAAGCACACCTATATGTGTTGCACCATGTTGCAGATGTTCACCCATATTTAGACGAGCACATGGCTAGTTTGCGTGATGAGTTTCCGTCGAAAGGTGAAAGGGCACTGATGCAGTTGCACAATAAGAAGTTTGTGAGTTGGTTTCGTGATCGAGTGATGGGTGGAATGGATGAGAGTGTCACAGCTACAGTAAGGTGGCTTGCTTATGGTCCTAGGGATGATGTTCGCTCATTTGAGGGATATGACATAAATGGGTACACATTTTGGACTGAGCGTCAAGATTTGAAATCGTTGTCGACCCAAAACAGTGGTGTAACGGTTGTGGCATCGTCAAGGGAGTTTGCAAGTGCTAAGGATAAATCACCCGTTGATGCAGAGTTGTCATACTACGGTCGAATTCAAGAAATATGGGAGCTTGATTATTGTGACTTCACGATTGCTCTTTTCCGGTGTAAGTGGGTCGATAATATCAGGCGTAACGTCAAATTTGATGACTTTACTCTTGTAGATCTTGGCAACCTGAATGAGAGTGCGGAACCATTCATCCTTGCATCTCAAGCTAAGCAGGTGTTTTACGTATCTGACCCTGCCGACTCAAAATGGTCTATTGTGCTAGCCGGCAAAAGAAGAATCCTTGGCGTTGGAGATGTCGAGGATGAGGAAGAATATGATGCCTTTGATGACTCGGCACCTTTCACTGTTCCTAGACCTGCTGTGCTAAATGAGATAGACGACCAATCCAATTACATGAGATCAGACCACGATGAAGGAATATTAGATTGAGGTACTGTATATTTTCTGTTAGTTTGAATTGCAGGCGTAGAAATAATAAAAAAATCACATTTTAGGTGAAAATGAATGAAATTGTTGAATTACTTGCCCATTTTTCTTATATTCTTTTAAATTAATATGCTGACTTGCATCACCATTTTCAGAGTTTATTTGTATTATAATTCAGCAATTTATATATGATTATAAGTTTACCTTACAATTTAGCAGCTAATAACGTGTTATGTTTGTAATGACAGGTTTTAACATCTAATGGCGGACGATCGATTCCGTGTTCGAGTTGACGATGTTGAATCTAACTCAGATGATTCATCTAATGATGGGGACCAGCCGTATGATGTGAACAAGGAAACTGATTTGGGTGAGCCAGAAGATCAGGAGCAAGATGTATTGGAGAGAATGATAGATGACTTTGAAATTGCGGCTGAGCAAGCGCCTCCAATCGATAATGCCATTATGGAGCCGTTTCGTGAGGATCAAAGTGGAGCGGGGGTGCAGGCACCAGCGAAGAAAAAGCAGAGGGGTCCGACGACAGCTTTCAAGAAACCTGTCGGTCCTATGGTCTTGGAGTATGACAGTGTAGGGCAACCCTCAGGTAAATAGCGTCGTCAGTATGCTGGTCAAGTTGGGATTTGTGCGCGCAAAATCCCCATTACGCTTCGTATGTGCGACATACCTACAGGCTTGATTGACACGTTTTGGAATAATACCAGGGTAAGTTTGATTTGATGTGATTATTTATAAACAATTTCAATTTATTGTTATGTTTTGGGCAAACTAATAATGCTTGTTATTTGTGCTTGCAGAGTCTATTTAACATTCCAAATGAGTATGCCAAGCGAAGGGTGTTTGAATCCTTACTTGCGGCAAGATTCAGAAGCTTCAAGTGTAACTTAGTTCGTCGGTTTATCACAAAGAAACTTGTGAGAAAACCAAATAACAAGAAAGGAGATGCCAGTGATGATGATGTCATCGATGAAGATAAACTCCCATGGCAAATATGGCCTAGCATCTCGAAGGATGATTGGGAAGCTTTCGTTCTTCAAAAATGTAAAAAAGAAGAAATCGTAAGTCTAAAGAACTCCGATGAAAATTGCGTTGTAATTTATCGTCTTTTGTATTAGTAATGAAACTAACCTACCTTTTTACGCAGGAAATGAGGGAGCAGAATTCCCGTAATGCAAAGCAAAAGCAATACCACCATCATATGGGAGCAATGACGTATGATGAATGGAGGGATACGTGGGTGAGTGAAGGAATATACCCAACAACGCTTCTAGGGTCCTCCACAGCGCCATCTGACTCCACGACCAGTACTTTGGTGAGTCGTGCTGGGGATTTCTTTTGCTCTATGCATTCGCGGGACAAGAAAACCGGAAAATGGTCCATCAAGGCTCCGGAAACCAAACTCATGACAGATAAGCTAGTAAGCAACTATGAACTAGTGAGCTACATTTTTCATTTGCATGTTTATCACTTTATATAAACATTTACTTCATGTTGCCATTTTGTTTTTGCTCAAGCTTGAGTACACCGGAGAGCTTGTTGAAGGCAAGCTCGTCCCGACGGTAGAGAAGGACCCCTTCACCTTGGCTATGGGAAAGCCCTACCATCCGGGACGGGTATTAGGTGCTGGGGGAAGCTTGCTAGGATGGGAGAAGGTAATGGGTCCCGAATATACCAAATCTGCAAGATCCCGAGCAAGTGTGAACTCGCCACAGAAAAGCGATGCAACAGTGGCTTCAATTAAAGAACAAGTGCGCAATGAGATGCGCGAAGAGTTCAATGCATGGGTGAAGCAAATGAATTTCCCGACCTTGCCCTTCCCCTCGACAACACCGGTGGACTCAAGGGGGCTTGATACTCCGACACCTCATGACTTTCCTATTCTGCAGGTGATTATCTGTTTCTGTTGCTGTTACTGTTTCCTATTCTACTGTTTCTATTCTCATGCTGTTGTTGTGTTGGTTGCTGCTGTTCTGTTGCTGTTTCTGTGTTGTTGTTGTTGCTGTGTTGCTGTTTCTGTGTTGTTGCTGTGTTGCTTCTGTTGTGTTGTTGTTGCTGCTGTGTTGGTTGCTGCTGTTCTGATGCTGTTTCTGTTCCTGTTTCTGTTGCTGTGTTGTTGCTGTGTTGCTGTGTTGTTGTTGCTGCTGTGTTGTTGTTGTTGCTGTGTTGCTGTTGCTGTTGCTGTGTTGTGTTGTTGTTGCTGCTGTGATGGTTGCTGTTGTTTCCTATTCTACTGTTTCTATTCTCCTGCTGTTGTTGTGTTGGTTGCTGCTGTTCTGTTGTTGTTTCTGTGTTGTTGTTGTTGCTGTGTTGCTGTTTCTGTGTTGTTGCTGTGTTGCTTCTGTTGTGTTGTTGTTGCTGCTGTGTTGGTTGCTGCTGTTCTGATGCTGTTTCTGTTCCTGTTTCTGTTGCTGTGTTGTTGCTGTGTTGTTGTTGCTGCTGTGTTGTTGTTGTTGCTGTGTTGCTGTTGCTGTTGCTGTGTTGTGTTGTTGTTGCTGCTGTGATGGTTGCTGCTGTTTCTGTGTTCTGTTGCTGTTTCTGTGTTCTGTTGCTGTTTCTGTGTTGTTTCTGTGTTGCTTCTGTTGTGTTGTTGCTGCTGTGTTGGTTGATGCTGTTCTGTTGCTGTGTTGTTGCTGCTGTCTTGTTGCTGATGCTGGTGTTGCTGCTGTGTTGCTCTGTTGTTGTGTTGTTTCTGCTGTGCTGTGTTGTTGTTTCTGCTGTGATGGTTGCTGCTTCTGTTGTTGTGTTGTTTCTGTTGCTGTGTTGTTTCTGTTGCTGTGTTGTTGTTTCTGCTGTGCTGTGTTGCTCTGTTGCTGTGTTGTTTCTGTTGCTGTGTTGTTTCTGTTGCTCTGTTGCTGTGTTGTTTCTGCTGTGTTGTTTCTGTTGCTCTGTTGTTTCTGTTGCTGTGTTGTTTCTGTTGCTGTGTTGGCTCTGTTGCTGTGTTGTTTCTGTTGCTGTGTTGTTGTTTCTGTTGTGCTGTGTTGCTCTGTTGCTGTGTTGTTTCTGTTGCTGTGTTGTTTTTGTTGCTCTGTTGCTGTGTTGTTTCTGCTGTGTTGTTTCTGTTGCTGTGTTGTTGTTGTGTTGTTGCTGTGTTGCTCTGTTGCTGCTGTGTTGTTGCTTTGTTGTTTCTGTTGCTGTGTTGTTTCTGTTGCTGTGTTGCTCTGTTGCTGTGTTGCTATGTTGTTGTGTTGTTTCTGTTGCTGTATATCAACAGCAACAGCAACAGCAGAGCAGCAACAGCAACAGCAGAGCAGCAACAGCAACAGCAGAGCAGCAACAACAGCAGCAACCAAACAGCAGCAACACAACAGCAGCAACACAGCAACAGCAACAGCAAAGCAGCAACAGCAGCAACACAGCAACAGAAAAGCAGCAACAAAAACACAGCAACACAGACACAGCAACACAGACACAGCAACACAGACACAGCAACACAGCAACACAGACACAGCAGAGCAGCAACAGCAGAGCAGCAACACAGCAACAGCATGCAGAGTTGCAGCAACAGCAGCAACAACACAGCAACAGCAAGACAGCAACAGCATCAACAACACAGCAACGCTCGGTTTTTCCTGTTTTTTTGTCTGCACTCGTTTTGGTTTTTATTTTTCCTTTTTTTTTTAAGCAAGCACCTGACATATGTAGTTATGAATATTGTAATGAAGTTGTTGCCTATATTCCTAATTGGTGCAGGAAGAGACCCGTTGTGAACTTCTTCACCCGGGCGAATCATTTGATGGACCTTTGACTCTTGTTGCCTATGGTAGTGCACAACCGGCCGAACAAGGTACGGTCCATTTGCGTCCTCTTCTGCCTGAGCATTATTCTGTCGGGATCCATTCTGTGGTTCCCGGGTTCGAGGACATCTTAAAACTTGTGCCCATGGAGGAGGATGAGTTCACTACACTTTAGGCAGCAAAAGGTAGTTTTGTGCAATGGCCATCCGCTTGGATACGGTTGATGAACCAGGTAATTAAGATTTAGACTTCACGCTTTAATCTATACCCGATTTTCTTCGCAAGAGTTGGAACGAAATCTTTTCTAACCATTTGTGTTATTTGTCTTATTAGCCATCGAGGATAAGCCAAACTCCAAAGAAGAGGGTGGAGGGCCCAAAGGCGAGGAGTGACCATGGCTCGGTTAGTGGAAAAGCGTCGATGAAGGCAAGCTCACGAGGTTCAGATGCGCAAGCTACTCCATTAGTTGAAGACACGGTGCTTCAATCGCTATCTCAAGAGTTAGCTTATTTGCACAACCGTGTTTGCGTGTTGCCTAATGACAGCCCCATCCAAATTGAACTTCCTAAGGAACTGTTCCACTACGATGATGATGCAACCGCATGGCTATTCAAAGAAGATGTGAAGGAATTTCTAAGCGGTTCAATGCTTAACATTTCCCTCATTCAAATATCCATGAGGTAATTGAACTGGTACTCAATTTAAGTTATTCAGTACCAAAAGCTGTGTTTCTGTCGTTTCGTTTTCGATTAACATTTTGTTATCATGCATGTAGAGCACTCCAGGAGCAAATATGGGAGCTTGAATCTCCTTGTCAAGTTGGGTGGTTGTGCCCTGAGCAGATGTCAACTGCTAGGATCTTAGGCAACTCCGCTGACGTGTTGTACTATGCTGAACGGGGTATCAGGCAATCAGTGAGTGCAGGAGACAAGTTCATATTCGTCCCATACTATGAGGAGTACGTCTGATTATGCTAGTCAAGTTCATTTGTTTTCCCAATTTATTTGTTGTAACAGGCTAACTATTGATTTGTTTGTCTCGTGTGTAGTTCTCATTGGACCCTACTTGTGATTTGTGTTTCCAGTAACACAATCTTCTACTTTGATTCTGCTCGGTTACCTCAAGCTCGAAAGCGCCTCGTGAGGTCCATACTGCAAAGGTAAGCATCTCGTTTGTTTCACTTCTTGTTATTCATTTTCATATCTGAACTCATATGAATTGATTATAAACGTCAAATTTGAACTTATTACTTTGATTTTTTGTAGTACCATGAAGAAGATAAATCCTCGATCTGCTCGAGGTCCTACATGGAAAGCACCCAAGGTAATTCACCCATGATGTTCTGCTTTGTTTCATGTGCTTTGTTTGGTTATGTTGTGCTTTGTTTCATGGAGCTATGCATTTTGATTCATTTGCTTTGTTCCTCATGCTAGTGCGCACAACAGGAAAACGGAGTTGACTGTGGCCTATACGTGATGAGATTCATGTATGACATAGTGATGAGTCATTGTACAGACACACGTCAGCTTGAAGAGGTATGCCATTTTCGTTGAAATTGCGTCCCAAAACCTCATACTTGCTCTTTTCTTGTAATCTCAAGCATTAGTCACCTATAACTAAGTGATAATGACATGTTTTAACTAGTTTTGAGTTCAATAGACAAGAATTGTAGAAAATAGGTATCCCAGTAGCCAAAATGGCCTTACTTGAGCCATTTTGGTTGAAATTGCGTCCCGTAACCTCTTACTTGCTCTTTTCTTGTAATCTCAAGCATTAGTCACCTATAACTAAGTGATAATGACATGTTTTAACTAGTTTTGAGTTCAATAGACAAGAATTGTAGAAAATAGGCATCCCAGTAGCCAAAATGGCCTTACTTGAGCCATTTTGGTTGAAATTGCGTCCCGTAACCTCTTACTTGCTCTTTTCTTGTAATCTCAAGCATTAGTCACCTATAACTAAGTGATAATGACATGTTTTAACTAGTTTTGAGTTCAATAGACAAGAATTGTAGAAAATAGGCATCCCAGTAGCCAAAATGGCCTTACTTGAGCCATTTTGGTTGAAATTGCGTCCCGTAACCTCTTACTTGCTCTTTTCTTGTAATCTCAAGCATTAGTCACCTATAACTAAGTGATAATGACATGTTTTAACTAGTTTTGAGTTCAATAGACAAGAATTGTAGAAAATAGGCATCCCAGTAGCCAAAATGGCCTTACTTGAGCCATTTTGGTTGAAATTGCGTCCCGTAACCTCTTACTTGCTCTTTTCTTGTAATCTCAAGCATTAGTCACCTATAACTAACCCCAATTATTATTATTTCACTTCTACTAACTCACGTTTTGTGTATTCTAAGTTTTGCAAGGGGCAAACGGGACTTCCATACACGAGCGAGGAACTCCATGTAATTCGGGAGATGTTGGCGACCTACATCACATTTAATTTGTAAATATTGTCATACATTTTTGTACTATATCATCTCTTCATCAATCCTAGGCTTAGCTTATTTATTGTATAGTATACATGAAACATTTTTCTAATTTATATCATCTCTTGCGATTGTTATTATTAATTATTTATGTTTTGTTATTAATGTTACTAATTATGGTTACTATTATCATATATAATAATAATAATAATAATAATTATTATTATTATTGTTACTATTATAATATTAATATTTATTATTATTATTAATATAATAATAATTATTATTATTATTGTTACTATTATAATATTAATATTTATTATTATTATTAATATAATAATAATTATTATTATTATTAATAATAATAATAATATTGCAGCAAAAAAAAACACAAAAAAAAAAACAGGTCAATATTAGTGCAGCCAAAAAAAAAAATCAAAAAAACAGGTCATTGGCAACGGTTAACCGTTGCCAATGTTTTAAAAAATAAATAAATAAATAAAAACAGGTCATTGGCAACGGTTAACCGTTGCCAATGTTAAAAAAAAAATTAAAAAAAAAAAAAAAAGCGCGCATTGTCTTTGGCAACGGTTTTGAACCGTTGCCAATTTATTTGGGATTTGGCAACCCTCAAATACTCAACGGTTCAAAACTGTTGCCTTTGGGGGGTTATGAACCGTTGCCAATTTGTTGGTTTCGTGTAGTGTAACCAGCACTAAAAAAAAAGGCGGAGGAGCTTACCCTTTGACTTCTACAACATCACCAGGTTTGAGTTTTGCAAAATGCTGGCTCATCTTACCTTCTGGATATATCTGTTTTTAAACAGAGTGGTTAGCTAACAACTAAAAAAATGAAATGTGGAAATAAGTCTACAATAAAAGTTGACGGACCTTGATCATCAAATCAAAGTACCCTTTGGAATCGGGATCAGAGATGGGAGTGTACCTGAAAGCAATTTGCATATAAATCAGGAATACAAAGCCGTAGACCCCCAACAAAAAAAATAAAAACCATCCATTTGACATTCTACATGTAAGATGGAGAGATACGGCATTCCATCAAAAGACATGTTTCTACTGAAAATTGGTTTAATAACCATGTTAAAAAAACCTCTAACATAGAAGAAGTAGACTTATCATGGACAGGAATTCAGATCTAGCTTTCATGTACTAAAACCAAATTCCAAAATGTAAACTTGAAAAGACAGAAGCACAGGATATCAAACATGTACCCAACAGAGGAATTCCCTTAGTGGAAAAGAAAGTCAGAGCCAAGTTCTGCATGTAACACTACCACATATGGGATCATAAAGAATCCATGACAGGCAAAACTTTCCAGAGCTTCTTGCAAAGAAGGTCTTTAATGGTACAGTAGCGAAACAATGTGAAAAATGTGTTGGCATGCTGCGATTGAATATATTAGTACCAGAGACCCAGAGTTGTAGATGAAGCCTCCTTGGCTCCTTCCATTCTCTGTTCACTACTAAAAACTAAAGACACCAACCTTCAAGAACACTCTTAATGGAAAAAGGCTTCCACATCTCAATTTCTAAAATTTGCTGCAGTAAGACTGTAAGAGAAAACTTTCAAAACAAGATTACAGTAGAGATGATAGCAATCCTAATTATGCGTTTGATTTACTCTTAGATTTAGGATGCTCAAACTGCATGAAAATGGTGTTTATGACCCAAACAAGCATATGAAGATTTACAATAGAAGTGTTGGTATATTATTATCCTTTGAATCATTGCTGAGACAAAGAAAGAAAACTACTGGTGTTAATAAAAAGTTTTACAAATCCAATATTTTTAAGGCAGGATACATATATTTATAAAAAGAGACTAATTAAGTTTAACTGTCAAGTACATGTCAATGGGTACACAGAATGTAAGTGCAAGATGTAGTTGGATGTATAGCAAGACAGATTAATAAAGCAGTTTCTGAAATATGATCCATCTATGTCACACTAGACGATATATTCCTATTAGACCCAAAGAAATTATAAATAATCATGTATTGCTCAAGAAGACACTTACGGTCGAACGACATATTTCGTTTTCCCTTCATCATTTTGCCCTGTAGGAGCTCTACAAAGAAGCATGATTGTTTAGAATATGCTTGCAAAGAAGCAATGTGAAGACCTAACACGGCTTCAGAATCGAATGAGAACCTACAGTTTCAGAACATCAATTATATGACATTACAAGAAAGTATTCAACACTTTTATAAATCAAAAGCAAAAGAAACTTCAACAAGCATTAAACAGGAGTATAACCTGTAGAGCTTCGTATTATGGCTGACAGTTGCAGTTTCCTGCAGTTTGAACTCAAGCCACTTATCTGGATTCAGTGCTCGAACTTACACAAGTTTTTCAGTCAAGAGATAGATAGAGCTAGGAGAAGTGGAGAACAATCATTGTAAAAATAAAATGAATTATCAATTAAGGTAGGTGCAGAATCAAAAAAAAAAAAAATCCTTTCCACATCCTGATCATCCTCTTTTTGTCAGAAAAGGGGTAGGCAGTGGGGCAGATAAAAGAGTTAAACTTGGCAGGTTAAAATCTTACATGAAAACAGTGAACATAGGAAAGAGAGGTGGAAGGAAATACCAAAGTAAGGCACCAAATGTATATATAGAATCTATGTTATTAAGTTGAGAATATAAAAACTTGTTGAGTAATTTGTATACATTCTCTAACCGTAAACAATCAAGCATTAGACATGAAGAGCAAATCAATCCATAGAGTAGCATAGGCCAAGAATAACACCACTTAAGCAATGGTAAAAAGAAAACTTACCAACTTTCTTCTGCGTTTCTTCATTGATTGAATCTAGATGAGCCTGCAAAGACATAATGGTAGCATCGTAAAAACCAATTTGTGACTTGGCCACAAAACATAAAAAAAAAATTAAAAAAATAAAAAGTCAAATCTTATTTATATAGGTTTCTCAAAACAAGCATATTGGATGTGCAAAATGAAAGAAGTAACATATTCGATCATACACATCATAGAATTTGACATAATTAACAAAAAGCTTCACATCAAAAGCCCCAAATACAACCAAAGAAATGAAAGCCTAGCAAATTGGTCGTGAAGATCATCCAATTACAGTCCCAACCAAAGGGGTTAGACGAAAACATAAGCATTGATACTCGATATTCAGTATCTGACAATATACTACTCATAAGATTCTCTCCTCAAATTAATCCAAAATTATCGAGCCACAACCATTTCGACATCCATCAACAAAATACACCCAGATGCTCCCCACTAATCATCCAAAATCCAAACTGGAACCTAACACACCATAGATATCAGTTCCATCATCACTAATCAATTAAGTATCAATGAATACTAATCTATAAAACCATATCAACATATCATACATTCATACCATTATTTAAAAATCCTGTTAATCGACAATATCACATTCAAAGAAGCTGCAATTGCAAACAACAATGATACCAATAACCAATTTACTGAGCTGCATACATACCAAAAATATATATTGACCCATTAATCCATTTTGACAGTCAAAACCAAATAACAGGGATTAATAACCCCCCTCAGACAATAAACAAAAACACAATAAATTACCAAACAATCAACAAAATTAAAGGGCATTGTATTATAAAATGAGCAATTGATGGAAATCCCATATATAATTAAGCCATAAATATACCAAATTTGGGGAAGAAGTGAGGTAATAAAGTGAGATTCCTCCAGTAATTGAAGCGGCAATCACTCCAAAAGGGGTACGAGAGGTATAAGGAGTGGAGTTTTGAGAGCCCTTAAATGCATTGGAAAATGCAACTGGAGCTGCTTTTGCTAATCTTCTGAAGAACAATGTCATTTTTTCAGATCACAAATTCACATAAAAGAGAAAGACAAGGGTTTAAGAGCTGAACACGACAAAAGTCGAGAAGGAAGAAGAAAAGAATCTGCTAGACTAGTTTTTTCCAGAAGAGTATAGTAGCTCTAAAAGAAAGTTGTTAAACGACGCCCTTATTTTACTGTAAACGCCCGCATTTAAACATAAATGAATAAATATGCCCTCGTGTATACTTTATATTTTTCTTCCTTGGCCTCCAACTCAATCGTACATTCTCTCATCCAAACAAACCACCACCAACCGAGGGCAAGGTCATCAGACACATCGTCGGAATTAAAGTCGTTTTTTTTTGTAGGTCAAACGCCTAAAATTTTCAAAAGAAGCGCCTAGAATTTTCAAAAGCCCCTATGAGATTCAAAAATTTTAGGCGATTTCACCCGTAGAATATTCTACGGGATAAAACGCCCAAAAAAAGTATATTCAAATTCAGTTAGAAATTTGATTTATACTTGCAACAGGATTGGAAATATTGAATGTTAATAAGCAACCACTTTAAGGCCCCTTACAAACATAGTCTACAATTATATATCATGCCTTTGAGAGGATCAAAAGGATAAGAAAATCTTCACCTTCAATGATAGCAGAAGCATATATAGCTCAACATAAAAACATAACTTAAAATTAAACTTCTAAACTTTGTGGAGGGTATTTTCTTGTGTCCAGGGTAAGGAAACATCATCAAGTGAACCAAGGAGGGCTGATAGGAAAAGAGCTAAGGGCCGAAGAAGCACGTAAGATACACAGCCCAAGAGTGAGTGATCAGACAAATGTTGCAAAGGAAGCAACAACAAAATCATGCCTTGAAGGGTCTGTAACTGAGCTCACAAGCGCACAGCTGTCAAGTCAGCCACAAGACCTGTCACAGTCCTATAGCCGAGACAAGGATGTAATTTTGAGATGTGCAGATGCTTTTTGATGTATATATAAACCAAAGTTTGGTGCTGTTTGATCAAACAATTGGTTAAGTTTTTTTGGTGAGACAAGTGTACTTGTTGGGAACTTGGTACAAGTTAACTTTTGACGTAACCTTCTGAAACAGTATGTTTGGGTTAATATATGCCTTTTATTGTTCCTAATTTTACTACTTTATTCTTGTTAGTTTCCCTAATTTTATTACTTTGTTCTTGTTAGTGCACCATTAAGTGTTAATAATTAATGAAACAGGGGAGTATAACATAAAGCAAACACTTTTATTATTATCAATTCAAATTACATCTCACAACTAAGTTCTCATTGCAACTCACACACCCACTCTTGAACTACATCTATTTCAAAACAACAACCAACAAGACTAAATACATAACAACAACAATCTTAACAACCATATGAACAAAATCAGCAAAGTCATCTGTCTTCTTCATGAACTCAGTGAATTCTGCCCTTAATAGTTGAACATATGCTGCTTCTAACATGTCACCAGATCTGCCACCAACATCCCTTACAATATGTTCATCAAAGAGTCACAAGAGCAAATCACAGAGCCTGCACTTGTAATAGGCCCTTCCAGGATTAGCTGCTGAGTTTGAGAACTAATGTCTGCAGATCTTGGAGGATTACAATTGCAGGTAATGGTTTTAACCCACACACCTCTTAAATTTCTGTTGCTTGCAAAAGATCTTGTGCCAGAAGAGGAAGTCATTGCAGATTTAACTTTAAAAAAAAATTGAGAAAGCAAAAAAAAAAACGAAAGAGAAAGAGAAAGCAAGAAAAACGAGAGAGAAGAGCATGTATTTATAAGGTTAATGTGGTGGGAATTGATTTTAGGAGGGAAATGTTGGAGGGAGATTAAATGGGAGGGCATTGAAGTCTTTTCCTCATTTTTCCAACTAAAACATTTCAAATTAACTAATTAAATATTTTATTAACGGCATGCTTACTGTAGTAATTAGGTGAAAATTATGAAGATACCGCTGATAATAAAAATTTAATGATGAGTATCAAAGATAAAAGCCAAAAGACGGAGGTATCAGTAATAATTACCCAAAAATTCCAAAAGACTCACCTCCTCTATTTATTGGACGGATCCGAGCCATTTATAACTAGGGCGGGTTAGGTTTTTTAATGGGCGCTAATTGTCAATATAAGACGAAAAAAAACGGACGAACGTAGCCCTCTACGGCCCTTCCACCTCCTCCTCTCTCAACGTTCTCCATTGAAGCGCGCACTCAACGTTCTCCATTGAAGCGCGCACTCAACGTTCTCCATCGAAGCAACTTACGAGGTAATTTGTTGTTTCTTTTTGTAATCATCATGTCAATTTCACAATCTAGGTTTTTTTATTGATTTAATTGTCAGTTTAGTAAGTTTAGGGTTCGACAATTTGAACTATTGATTCTAATTCTAATATAACCCGCGATTATGTTGTTAGAAAAGAAAATTATGACCCTAATTCAATAATTGAATCAATTGTACCTTTCTTCCCTTAAATCATGTGATTTTTGAGGTATAATATAATTGAAACTTTTTTTTTTTGGTGAAGGTGTTTTAATTGAAACTATGAAATCACCTAAATTTGTGTTCTTTTCTGTATTGTTTCTCTTGTGAGTTTTTTTTTATTTTTTTGGGTGGATTATATTGATTGATATGATATTAGTGATAATTCAGCATTATATTGATTGATATGATATTAGTGATAACAGGTTGAGATGGATAATGGTAAGTTTGTAGAAGATGGAGTTGGTTTCTCGGGAGTTGAGAAAAGTCCATTTGGTGATTTGTTTTCGGTGAGAATAAAGCATGATGCAGTTGACAAGTTTGATGTTTATGGTAACATTTTTGTTGAAGATGAAGATGGTACTTTTTGCATCTTCAATCGACAATTTGATGATGCCAGTCTTATAACTGGTTCCTTGCCTCTAGCTTTTAATCGGTCACTCCGTGCTAGATCAATTTTCACTCTCACTTTTGATCTCAAAGATAGAGATGGTAATACAATTGAGGGCAAAGTTGTTGCAAAATTTACTACAGGGAAAAATGGCAATTTTAAAAAGTTGGGTGTTGATCGTATCTTTGGTAGTATGGGTTGTGCAACCATATATTACACTTTTAACCAAGCAGCAGGTTTTTATGCTATAAAGGATGCTATTCTAATGAAACATTCTGCTAACTCTGAAGATGACAGTTGGGTTCGCGGAACCATTGTTTTTCAGTATGGAAGGCCGTTTGATTCTCGGACTCGTTCTCTTGCAACCCAAGACTTAGAGGACGATTGTCTTGATATTGTGCTATTTAACGCGACAAACCCTGTGCCATTGATATTGGATCATACGGGTTCTTGTTACAACATTCCTCTTCTAAGATCGCATCTGGTTGTACCGTATGGTTACTCCTCAATCATGAAATTCGACTTGGTTTATTCTGATAAGGGCAAGGTCGAACTTATTCGATTCAATAAAGACATTCCAAAGTATCCATTAGGTTTTAAGATGATCGTTTCTGACAAGGAAGGGGATGACATGCTTGTCAAATTGATGCTTGAATTACTTATTTTTTAATCATAAGAAGTTAGAGACACGGTTCTTAGAATTAACTCCCTACCTTTGTGTTATGTTTGTATTGGTTGTCACTTGGTAATTGGGATTGAGATTGGGATGGTTTAATTCCCATGTTTTAAGTACTTTGTACTATTATTATAACTTTGATTTTAATTACTCTAAATTAATTCCCATTATAAGGGATTATCTTTTATTGAATTCTCAATCACAAATTCCTAATTCGATTTTCATCCTCTAATCCCTAAACTGTCATTATCATCATTTAATTAAAATATTGATTAATAAGTCTTGTGTACAACGGATGTACATTAATTTTATTGTAAAATGGTCGGTTTGAGCGTAACTTTAACTATTTTTATGGTAACTTTAACCATTTAAAGGGTAACTTTTAATTTGTCGCTATTTTAATGTGTAATTTCTTATAGATACGTGATTACATAATATAAAGATTAATATGATTAATTAAATACATTAAAAGTATTTTGTAAGATAAAATTTATTAATAGAAATAATAATAACTTTAGCAATACAAAGGGTAACTTTAAGTACTTTTAACACAACTTTAACCCGTTTTACAATAAATTAATGTACATCTGCATTTTTGAAGAATTTGTGAATATTGATATGGATGTCTCATTTTTTTTTTTATTTACACTCGTGCTTCTATAAAGAGAAGAGCGTTATATCTCTGAAAGGTTCTTTCACGAGGAAGCATTTGTTTTGTGACAAGATTTTTGCCAACGATTACGCAATACTCCCATATGAAAGTACACACAAGCCAACCACTACAAATTCATACACAACAGGCCTAAGTCATCTCCGTAACATCCAATATTGCTGATGGTATTTTAGCTTTCGGATTGACAACCACTGGCTCGAAATCAATGTCTTTTTCATGGAGGTAACTCGATGCCAATAATGAATCCACTGGCTTAACATCATACTTTCGCCTCCTACACGTTTACACAACCCTTTAACTTCCTTCCATTAAAAGAAGATAAGGTTGATATACGGATACGATCCCACATTTTCGTTCTTTGTACGTTATTAGGGGAGTTAATAAGATTCAATCCCATGAGAATAGCAGTGATTGAGATAGAAGGAAAATAAGTACATTGTTGTATTCTGTTTTTAATATAGACTATGGTGTAGTAATTGTTTTTAAGTTATGTGCCTTAGTTGTTGTGGATGAGGTTCAGCAGCTTGTGCTCTAGAGGATGCATTGCTTGCTTGACTTAACAAGCACCGGTTTTGTATCGGTGACTTATGTCTTAATTCCTTTTACAGTGTGTCAGTGTACAAAGGCACCGATTTGAATTAGTGCCTTTGCAACTATTAGGTACCGGTTTCAGAACCGGTGTCGTGTCGTTAATGACTTAACTTTTTTCAGCTAAAGTTGTTTATATATATATATCCTTAAATATTTTTTTATTCATTATATAGCCAGTGATTTCACAATTTTCATCCATAAATAAAATGAAAAGAACACAATTAGAGTACATCAGGAGCATAAGAAAGAAGGATGAACAACCATTATAACCAGGAGCAGCAAGCATACTAGCAGTAGCAATGAACCATGATGTGGCTTTAACAACAAATAGTTATAAACCATTACATTGCAAAAAACTACCAACGGTACCTAACAGCTTACTGTTAAATATATACATCAAAAGCATAACTAGATGTAGTATATTAAATGAAATCTTAATAGACTGGTAAAATCATAATGAAAAAGGGTGAGAGGTCTAGAAAACAAGTACTTAATATAGATTCACCGTCATAAATTTATAATACAACACAACCAATACTTATATCACAAACAGGAACAATAAACTGAGCATCAAAGTGCTTATTTTTAAAATTAACAAACACAAACGTAATTAGATAGCTTAAGTTAAAACAGGATGAACCACATCTTCAAAATACAATTTTGGTACTGTGAAGACAGACACAACGTACCCTCTCCTGACTCGTGCTGCTCTACACCAAGTATCTCTTGTTACCAATAATTTGAAACTCCGACGGCTTCATCGTCTTCCAATCTATTTGAGGAGGCGAAATATCATAGGTTGCTGAAACCTCAATCCCATCATATTTCCTGACGACTGAACCACATTCTTCTACTGGTAGCTCAAGAGTACCTCTAAACACTACATGCTCAGTCAACGCATCTGTCAAATATACATCCAGACAAAGGTTGCTATCCAATGGCACAGCCACCTTATCTCTTGACAGTGAAAAACAATCCCCCTCCACCAACTTCTTAGGCTTTTCTTGTGACGCGTAGAACAGAGTTGATCTATAAAACACTTTATCATACTCACAATCAGAAGCAAATTTGCTGCTGTAAGCGCGTATATGACCATAAATTGCACAATCACCATAGCCACGTAGTCCTTCCACAAGACGAACTTTCACAGCAGCTTGTACCGCATCAGTATAGAAGATGGAATGCACCATAGCATGCCCATCTTCACCTCCAACAAAAGTGGAAGTAAGTTTATCGCAAGTCATCTCATGAGCTGAACCCGAGTAAACAACAAGCCCACGACATAAGTTAACATTATGACTCTTGTCCTTGAGGTTAAGGAATAAAGTCCAAGTAAAGTTATCGGACCTTACACAATTTGGCGGACCAACCAAATGTAGTTGTTGGGTTTCATTAGGAAACATTATAGAGTTTTCATTATCTGAAGGTTTGAACATATCAATACCACCATCAACAGAAACTGTGTTATCTAATAACCTCACAAAACCTTCAAGTTCAACACTTTCTATATCATCAGTGTAGTAAGGTTCTATTGATATCGAAAATACTTCAACCATATCACCTGGCAAGTCCTCTATCCCTGGATACACTTTCGATTTTGATGAATACATTGCTGAATAAATTCACCAAACAAACTCAAATCAATGGTGAGACAATACAAATTAATTAAAATATATTACTTCACAAGGAATTTATTTGGATTTTACAAGTTAAATCAATTCCAAACTAAATACCAAACACCCAATCCAATCTAATGTCTCATCCAGAATAGATTTTGGTAGTTAAAATCCAAATTGTTAAAAAAAATTACTAGTTTAAAAAATTTACAAACAAATTGAGAAAAGGTCTAATTTCAATTATCAAAATAGGCTGATAATTTTAGGGATATTTGATTCAATTATCAAATTAGGCTCATAATTTTAGGGGTATTTGATTCAATTCAAATCAAAGTAGGATGATAATTTTAGGGATATTTGATTCAATTATCAAATTAGGCTCATAATTTCAGGGAAATTTGATTCAATTATCAAACAAGGCTCGTAATTTAGAGATATTTGATTCAATTATCAAATAAGGGTCATAATTTTCTTTACATAATCTCAGCATTTAGAACCAAAAGTTGAGATTTTCGAACCCTAACCTTACTGCACGAAATGAAATCAAACACTAGAATGTGAAATTAATATGATGATAACAAAAAGAAACAACAACTTACCTTAGAAGACGCTGAGAACAAATAGTTTATAATGTAATGGAGAACGGAGAACTCAGAGAGAGAGGAGAAGCAAGAGGAGGAGGCAAGGCAGGGATATGTTCATTAATGCTTTTTTCTTCTTATTAATACTGACAGAGCAATTCAATGGGTTGGAGCCCCATTAAAAAAAGCCCTAACCCACCCTAGTTATATATGGGTTAGATCGGTCAAATACATAAATATGGCGGGTCTTTACGATCGTCTAAATATAGCTCCATAAAGTCACTCCAACAATAAGTTATTTATCTAGAGTATTTAGTATAGAGCAAGCCACAGTTTTTTTTTTTATTTTTTTTGAGCAAAGAGCAAGCTCCGATTTATAACCTAGATAAACAAAAAATATTATTAAATGGCAATTTAGTAAATAAGTTGCATTAAAATTTGTGTTTTTTTAATTTAAAAAATATATTTTTTTATTGTTTGTGGGCCGTTGTGACAAGTTGGACCGAACTTTTAAAGTTAACACCGTTAACTTCTATTCACCTTCTTCTTCCTCCCACCTTCTTCCTCTGTTCAAGTTTTTTCTATAATAGGTCACCGTGTTTTTAGCAAAAATCAAACCTTAAATCACACTAAGTTTCTTCCCTCCCACCTTATCGTGTTTTTAGCAAGTGGTCAAGTGGAGCCATTAAATGCACCTACCTATAATAGATCACCGTATTTTTACTGCAAAAATCAAACCAGAAATTACATTATTTTTTTTTCAATTCCCACCCACCTCCAATCTCTACTCTACTAGCACCACCATTTCCGCCGGCTTTACCGGCAAAATTAAACCAAAACATTAATAAAAGGAGAAATTAATGGCATGGTTAACCCTAAAGGGTAGCTGAGTTTTCCTTCCTCCACTGATTCCGAAATGTTCAATGTCGTAGTGAAAATGTGTACTTTCCACCAATGAAATTGAAGGTTGAAGGAAGAGAGAGGAAACAACAAAGGTTAAAAGAGGAGAGAGAAAATCAGAAAAGCAAAAGGTTGAAGGAGGAGAGTCTAGTAGTTTTAACAATATAACCATACATAAGAATTGTCTCAAATTTTACCGCCAATTAAATTTTCATTTACAAAAGATGAAAATTATAATTTTTTTTTTTGCCAAATTAATAGCCAAAAAATTACCAAAATGTATAAATGTTGTCAAGGTAATTTACAAAATTACAAGTTTTGAATAAAGAAAATTCAGTTCTTTTACTACTTAATTAATAAATTAAGCATGTCGGGTTCGGGTTGATGGGGTTGTCGTTCAACCCATTTATATAATCAGGTTATACGTGTTGGTTTCGGGTTGAAAATTTCAACCCAAACCTAACCCGTTTAATTTCGTGTCTTGTTCGTGTCGACCCAATTATGTAAATGGGTCGTGAATTCTTGACCCAAACCCGCTTATTTCATGTCGGATCAGGTTTTGACAATCCTACATTTAATCAAAAAAAAAAATTGACATTTACAATGTACTGATGTACATTATCATATCCACACAAAAATCACAGAACATGGACGCAACACGTCAACATTGCATCCCTAACTTTGGCCTCCTCAGCTCACCAATTTGGCGATTTCATCGATCATCACCACCACCAACATTCTCCTCCTCCCTAAAAACCACCGCAAATGAACCAGAGCACCACCACCAATGCCCCTACTTCTCTCCTCCACACCAACCACCGCTTCTCTCTTCCTTAAACTCACCTTTCCACTTGCTTTCCTCCGCTTTTCAACCATGTCTTCCATCAATCTTCAATCCCACGCATTCGCCGGCAACCCCATTAAGGCCAAAATCCCCAAATCAAACGACCCTTTTTCCCCTAATTCAGCTCTCGAAGCTCTTAAATCTCACCTTTTAGGGAATACCCATGACGCCATTGCCCTTAATTTTAAGGTACTGCCCTTCAGAAAAGGGCGCCCTTTGGCGGGTTCTCAGGGTTCCTCCCCAAATTGGCATCTGGGTTGGCTTAGTTTGGGTGATTGTAAGGGTTTATTGGCTGATTCTTCGGTTAAATTTGAGGGAGATTCGTTGGTTTATCTGGGTTCGAAATCAGAGGAAGATTCTGTTTATTGGGCAATTGATGTTTCTGAGGATGATAAATTGGTGGATGAATTGGGGAAGAAGTATTTCTCTTTTGTTGAGCTTAGGACTTTAATGGTGGCTACTGATTGGTCTGATTCTCGTGCTATGGCTGATTTAGCTGTTGCTGGTCATGTATGTATTGATGTATTCTCTTTCTGCTTATATTACATTGATTATGCTTTCTTTGATGTTTTTGCTAGTTTAGTAAGATTATATTTGATTGTGCTTTTGTGTTTCAAATTGATTGCCATCATTTATAGCTAGGTGACACTTTGAAATGATACTTGATACCTATAATAGTGACAACTAATTGGTTCGTCCCACCATGATCCTCTCGTGAGCTGTTTTATATGGGAATGATAATCGTCTTATCTCGTTGTGATCTAATTGAGAGTTGTGATGTAGATTGCTGAGAGGATTTATCTAGAATGTGGTGCAAAATTGTGTTGGTATTAAGTTTTGTTAGTAGCTGTAAGTGTGAGGGTGTTATATATTATAGGGAATGATTGAATAGAGGTGAAAAGTAGTTAGAATTTCGAAGATCAGTATTTGTAGGTTCTGATAGCTTTGGCAAGAACAAAATAGTTTCTTCAGGTAATAGAATTAGCACATGGATTGGTAATGTGGTTGTAGCTGTTTAATTTTGACTCAATTATGAATGTGCAAAGATGGATTCTTTAATGAGGTTGAAGATCTAGTCTTGGTGGTAGACTGGTAGATGTAGTTGAGCTTGAGCGTCTTCTTATTATCGGAGATGGAAGAAATAAGTTTGATATGTGCCAGGAATGTTAATGATTGTTTAAGTAGAGGGGCTTTAAAATGTGATATTTTATTTATGCGGGTACCTTAGGTGGGTTGGTTAACATGATTGTGGTGAATGGGACACATGAATGACAGATAAACATGAATGAAGCATTTGTATTGTTGATTATGAATCTTGAAGCTAGAGATGTATCTTGTTTTCTATCAAATGATATCTCATTTTGGGAAGTATTAATTTCACTAGTATTATATGGGTAGATGTAATAATGTAATATGTATGTAGGGTAAAACTGTTAGCTATTCAGCTCTTTAACTTTCACAATATGAACAAGAAGATGTATTTGTTGAATTGACTACCTTATATTTTGATGATTGACTTACGTAAAACAAACTCTGACTAATGATGTTTAAAGAGTCTTGGTTAAGCAGAAGATTCAGGTTTGAAGTAATATGTTCCGGAGTAGGAACAACAAAGTTTGGAAGACTTGATGATCAATGCAAGCTTTCAAGATGTCCTCACGACTCTATATACTTAGTTACTCAGTGTACGAACTTAAGAAACAAAAGTGTTGGAAGGAACTAAGAAGAAACTCGAAGTTCCCGAAGGAACCTGAAGTTCCTGAAGGAACTTGACGGATGACTCAGAAAAGTTTTTAACAGTTTTTAAAATCCTTAATTTAAGGAAGAGATAAAATCAGTTTGAAAATATTGGGATAAAATCAGTTGAAAAGATTTATTTTATAAATAAATAAAATCTAAATAATTCTTTAATTTAAAAGATAAATTTATTTTAAATTAATTAATTGTTTAAATATCTTTTTAATAAATAAATATTTATCTTTTTAATAAATATTCTTTTAAACTGATTTTGACTTGGTAAAATTCTGTTTGCTTAAAAACAGGATGCACGTTGGACTTGGGAGTCAAGTTAGTGAAATCATGTTTCTCAACTTCCTCCACTTACATCCCAACTTCCCAATATAGGTGAACGTGGGATTGAGGGGGAAGTAGGAACATGATAGAAGCTTGGATAATCTCCCTATAAAAAGAGATCAACGTGGCTTTTTGAAAGTGTGGAAAAGCAATTTTAAGTATTCTGAGCGTAGAGTTTCAAAGTGTTTAAACGAGAAGTTCCTTCCATCTTTAGTCTCTTAAGTTCCTTAGGAAACATTTGTAATCATTGTGTAGTTGGGATTGGGTTGTGAGAGTTGTAAAGTATGAGACTTGAGAGAGTTCTTTACACTTCACAAAGTGTGAGAAACTGTGATTGAGGGATCACAGTTGGATAACTTGAGTTCCCCACGGAACTTGAGTCTAGGCAACGTATTAGTGATTGTAAATCATTTTTACATAGTGAATTTATTCATTGCCTATCTCAGTGTCTTTTCTCTTAGTAGTAGCTTTAATTCCGCAAAATTTACCATAGTCTACATACACTACAATTCACCCCCCTCTTGTAGTATACATTGTTCTAACAATTGGTATCAGAGCAAGGAACTCGGAAAAGCAGGAAGCCCTGTCGACGTCGAGTCAAGTTCCTGGAGGAACAATGTCGAAGGACGAGAGACTAGCTGAAGGTTACTCTACACAAAGACCACCACTCTTCAATGGGAAGTACTATGCCTATTGGAAGACAAGGATGGAGATGTTCATACAGTCCGAGAATTATCAAGTCTGGCGAGCTATCGAAGTAGGAGATTACGAGGTAACCAAGACCAATGCAGAAAATGAGGTAATTCCTAAACCTATCTCTGAATATGATAGAAGCGACTTTGAGAAGAAAGAGATTAATGCTACTGCTAAAAAACTCCTAGTTTGGGGTTTAGGGCCAGATGAACACACTCGTGTTATGGGATGTAAAACAGCTAAAGAAATATGGGATTTACTAGAGATAACCCACGAAGGAACTCATGAAGTCAAACGTTCTAAAATTGATATACTGCTTTCTAAATATGAACGTTTTGAAATGGGTTCAAAAGAAACTATTCAAGAAATGTTTACTCGTTTTAAAAATATTGCTAATGAATTAGTTTCTCTTGGTAGAGTTGTTCCTATGGATGAACAGGTACGCAAAATTCTAAGAAGTCTTCCTGAAGATGAACGGTGGAGATCCAAAGTGGCTGCTTTGCAGGAATCAAAGGACTTTACAACTTTTAACCTTGAACAACTTGCAGGTTCCTTGATAACTCATGAGCTTCACCTATCAAACAAAAGTCAAGAAAGCTCAAGAAGCAGAGGAATTGCTTTAAAAGTTGCCCAACCAAGTGAAGAGGATTCCGAATCTGAAGAGGAAGAAGCTGCTATGCTAGTCAGGAAGTTAAAAAAGTTGTACCGCAACAAAAGGTTTGGTGACCAAAAGAAAAGGAACTTCAAGAAGAACCAGTATTCCAAGGAAACAGGAGGATGCCACAAATGTGGGAACACAGATCACTTCATCAAGGAATGCCCTCTCTGGGAATCAGAAAAAGGAAAAGGCAAAATGAAGGAACACGGAAAATTTCATACTCCTAACTTTTCAAAATCTGATTACAGGAAAGCCATGATAGCTGCGTGGGGAGACACAAGTTCCGAGGATGAAGAAGAATTTACGGAAGAAGAGACTGCAAACCTGTGTTTGATGGCTAAACATAGTGAATCTGCTAAAAAGTCAAAGGAGGTAAATCTCGAACCTAAATTTCTGAAATCCCTGTCAAAAGACAAATTAATTTCTTTGCTCATAGAAACATTGGATGAATATAAAGAAGTATGTCTTAAACTTGGATAAAATGAAAAAGCTCTAGAAATCTATAAGGATCATATGAAATATTTGTATAGTTCAAGAACAGATGTTCAGGGAAGATTCTTTGATTTGCTAGATAGAAACACTATGCTTAAAGAAACACTGGAAAGAGTCAAAAATGAAAATATCATATTAAATGTTGAATTGACTCAGTATAAATTGCTATGCACTAACATTGATTCTAATAATGCTCCTCAATTGCCTTTAGTAACCTTTAATGATGATCTTGAAAATTTGAAAAAAGAATTGCAGGTTACTAAAGACAAAAATGAGTCCCTTGAAAAGGATTTAGAAAGAGCTAGAAACAACAAAAGTGCAATCCACATGGGAGTTCCAAAGTGGATATCCAAAGCTCAAACCATAAGGACAGAGGGTTTGGGTTTCAACCACAAAAAGAAGAATAGTGGTAAAAAGAAAAAATACGTGGAACTCCCTAGTGAGACTGTGTGTTCCTTCTGTGGCAAGTCAGGACACAAAGATACTGAATGCAAAAGAAAGGAACTTAAGTCCACTAAAAATATAGCTTATGTATGGCAAAAGAAAAATGAGTCTGCAGTATCAACGAAGGAACCCATGAAAGATGAGGTTCCTAAATCTAACCCTTAATTTCTTTTGCAGGTCGTAGTGAAGGGGAATAACCAATGGTACCTCGATAGTGGTTGTTCCAAGCACATGACAGGAGATGAATCAAGATTTCTCTCACTGACGGCCTATACAGGAGGAACTGTGACCTTTGGTGATAATAAGAAAGGCAACATTGTTGCCGTAGGAAAAGTTGGAAGGTCAAGTTCCCAAGCTATTGATAACGTTTTTTTTAGTCGAGGGCCTCAAACACAGCTTATTAAGCATATCACAATTTTGTGATAAAGGAAACTCTGTAAGTTTTGATTCTGAAAAATGTAGCATCATTCAGAATGACACTGGGAAAGTTTTGCTGGAAGGAACTCGGAAAGGAAACACTTATACAGTGGATCTCAATACAGTTCCAAGGAACAGCTTAACTTGCCTCAGTGTCATCGAGGATGATCCTTTACTGTGGCATAAACGTTTTGGTCATGCAAGTTTTTCTTTGATTGATAAATTAAGAACAAGGAACTTGGTAGAGGGACTTCCTTCAATCAAGTTTCTATGTGACAAAATTTGTGATGCTTGTGTGAAAGGAAAACAGGTCAGATCATCCTTTAAATCCAAGAAAATGGTGAGTTCCACGAAACCTTTAGAGTTAATTCATATGGATTTGTGTGGTCCTATGAGGATTCAAAGTAGAAGTGGAAAGAAGTATGTCTTAGTAATTGTTGATGATTATTCTAGATTCACATGGGTAATTTTTATGTCTAGCAAAGATGAGACTTTTGATGAGTTTGTTACATTTTTCAGGAGAATTCAAAAGTCCACCGGTCATCAACTGATACACCTTAGATCCGATCATGGCACTGAATTTGAGAATTTTAAATTTGATGATTTATGCAGGGAACAAGGCTTAAGTCATAATTTCTCAGCTCCAAGAACTCCACAGCAAAATGGAGTTGTGGAAAGGAAGAACAGAACCTTAGAAGACATGGCTCGAACCATGTTAATAGCCAGCGATCTTCCAAGGAACTTCTGGGCAGAAGCCGTGAATACAGCCTGTTATATTATAAATCGTGTCATGCTAAGGCCTATATTAAATAAGACACCCTATGAACTTATGAAAGGCAGAAAACCGAATATATCTCATCTGAGAGCATTTGGTTGTAAATGTTTTGTGCATAATAATGGTAAAAGGAACATAGGGAAATTCGATGAAAGAAGTGATGAAGCCGTATTTCTTGGATATGCTACTAACAGTAAAGCGTATAGAGTTTACAATAAACGTACTATGTGTGTAGAGGAAAGTGTGCATGTTATATTTGATGAAACTAATCCACTTCCATGTACACAGGAGCATGAGGACTATGACTTTGAAATTGGTCTAGTACGTTCTCAAGAACAAGAAGAAGATGCAGTAATTCCAAATAAGCAGCCAACTCGATTAAATGAAAATCATGAAAATCCAGAGAAGGAACTCGACATACTGACTGAAGTTCCTTCGATAGAACAACCTCAGAATGAAGAACCTGCCAAGGAACCAATAACACAAGAGGAAATCACTGAAGAAGAAGCAACTGGCTCAGGAAATCAGAATAGTCGAGTTACTATCCAAACCTTCCAGCCCAAACCTTGGAAGCACCAAAAGTCACACCCACTGGACAAAATTATCAGTGACTTATGCAAAGGAACTCAGACTAGATCGCAAATGAGGAACTTCTGTTCCTTCAATGCTTTTCTATCTACTTTGGAACCTCGCAACCACAAAGAAGCCTTAGAAGACCCTGACTGGATTATAGCCATGCAAGAGGAACTCAATGAATTCGAAAGAAATCAGGTATGACATCTTGAACCTAAGCCACTAGATAAAAAGGTCATAGGCTTAAAATGGGTCTTTCGAAACAAACTTGATGAATATGGTACAATTGTAAGAAATAAGGCTAGGTTGGTTGTAAAGGGATATAACCAACAGGAGGGTATTGATTTTGAGGAAACATTTGTTCCTGTTGCTAGACTTGAGGCTATTAGAATTTTAATATCTTTTGCTGCTTTTATGGGTTTTAAACTGTATCAGATGGACGTAAAATGTGCGTTTTTGAATGGTTTATTAAAAGAAACAGTTTACGTCGATCAACCCCCTGGATTCGAGAATCCAAACTTTCTAAACCATGTTTTTAAACTTGATAAGGCTCTCTACGGACTAAAACAGGCTCCAAGAGCATGGTATGAAAGATTGTCTAAGTTCCTTTTGGAAAATGATTTTAAACGAGGAAAAATTGATAAAACTTTGTTTTTAAAATCTAAAGGAACTCATCTTTTAGTTGTACAGATCTATGTTGATGATATTATATTTGGTGCAACTAACGAATCTTTGTGCAAGTACTTTGCTGACTTGATGTGCAGTGAGTTCCAAATGAGCATGATGGGGGAACTCAATTTCTTTTTAGGACTGCAGATCAAACAAACAGAATCAGGAATATTTATACATCAGCAAAAATATGTCAAGGAACTCCTGAAAAAGTATAACCTTGACAGCGCAAAGACTAACCACACTCCTATGGGAACTAACTCTAGATTAGACGAAGATCCCTCAGGAACTTGTGTTGTGGACCAGACAAAGTACAGAGGTATGATTGGTTCCTTATTATATTTAACTGCAAGTAGACCTGATATTTCTTTTAGTGTTGGTCTTTGTGCTAGGTTCCAATCCAATCCAAAAGAGTCGCATCTAACTGCCGTAAAAAGAATACTGAGATATCTTAAAGGAACGGCAGACTTAAGTTTATTCTACCCACTAAGTGATACATTCGATCTCAAAGGATTTGCTGATGCAGATTATGCCGGAGACTTAGTAAATCGCAAGAGCACGTCAGGTATGGTTCAATTCTTAGGCTCTTGTCCAGTTTCTTGGAGTTCCAAGAAACAAAACACTGTTGCTCTATCCACTGCTGAAGCAGAATATGTAGCTGCTGCTGCATGTTGCTCCCAATTAATATGGATAAAGCAACAGTTGCGTGATTTTGGCATAATTTTAGAATGTGTTCCTATATACTGTGATAATACTAGTGTTATATGCATCTCAAAAGATCCAGTACATCATTCACGTGTAAAGCATATTCATGTTCGGCATTATTTTCTAAAAGACAATGTGGAAAAAGGCTCCATTAAATTAGAATTTGTACAAACTGAATATCAAATTGCTGACATTCTAACAAAGCCTTTGAGTAGAGAAAAATTCGAAAAGATGCGATTGGAACTCGGAATGATAAAGCTAAATTGAGCAGTTCTTCTTGGAACCCCAAGGTATGTCTTAGTGAAACGACTGAGCATTGCTATATATAATCTTGGTGTGAAAAACATAATCTCGAATCTTGCAATGAAAGAGTGTGTAATTCTAATGAGTGTGTGATCATGTGATTATGTCAATAAAGAAGACAAATTAAGCCATATTATTTTCCAAGTTTTTTTTGAAAAGCTCTGTACAGGTCAACCAGTATTTTACTTTGAAGTAACTTACTGGAATTTTTATTTATCTTTAAATTTTTAATTTTATCCTTTTACTAATTTCATCTTATAAATTCCAAAACAACAAAAAGATTTTTTATTTTCTCAATTAAATCTTATTTTTATTTTTTTTCTTATTTTTCTTTTTATTGTAAATAAATCACACAACCTTTCAACCTCCCCACTAACACACTTTCCCACATTCACTCCCACATTCACTTCCCCTAAACCGTCACTTCACCACACCCCTTGAACCGCCACTCCTCACAAACATATCAACTTTCCCCATTACTCCTCTTCAATAGTCACATCATCATCTCTCATCACCCGTCACTCCCCATAAAACCATCCTCACCTTCAAGTTCCCACCAACCTCCCTTTATACACTTCTCCCACTTCTCCTACTTTCTCAAAATTCACCCAACAATGAAAACCAACATCACATCTAATCCCTTGGAACGACGATCCGGACGGAACACCCCATCAAAACCCGTCCCTCCAACTATGATAATTCCTTCCCCCTCTCAAGCTCCAAAACGCAAGGCTACTCAACCCAAGGAAAAACCAGAAAACACTAAGGCCTGTCGCACCTCGGCACCATCGAAGAAAGCCCGGCAAACCCGAAACGACAAATTCTTACTTGGGTATGCAATTGATCACTCATGGTGCACGGATTGTAAGTTTTCCGAAATTTTAGAGTTGTTGGATTATCAAAATTGGATATATTTGTTGGATGTGTGTTCAAAGTTTCCAATTTATCCTACATTAATGGATGAATTTTGCTCATCCTTTGTTTGCGTTGATGGTGTATGTAGTGCTACGGTTGGTGGTGTGAATATTGAGTTTGATGCAGGTTATTTGGCCAAATTGTTTAAAACCCCAAATGTTGGATATAGAACCTATGTCAAAAACAAATCCAAAAACACCGTAGATGGCCACAATGAAACCGAAATTGTCACATTTATTGGTGGAAACCCGAAAGTTACTACAACTAACCACAATGCCTTAACTCCTTTGCATAAACTACTGTTCAATATCATTTGGAGAGGAATTCTTCCTCGTTCCCAAAAACGCAGTACTGTTACCCTGTTAGATGCATCCCTCATCTTCTGTCTAGCAAAGAAAGTTAGCATTAACTTTCCTGCCTTAATGATCGCCCACCTAGACCACTGCATTCCCGACCTACACATACCCTATGGTTCCCTTTTGACAGTGGTGTTTCAAGATCTGAAAGTTCCTTTGCCCCAAACCGAGACATACACTCTCAAACCTGAACACATCCTTCAGGAAAAATCATTATTAAAGCTAAAATTAAAAGTGGTGAATGAGAATGTTTGTTTTGCATCTGATGGGCAACGTGATTCCGAGGGGGAACACAGTGAGGGGGAAGTAGAAAAGAAAGAAGACGACCGTGAGAAAAATACCAAAGAAATTGGTGAGAAAGAAACAGAGAAAGATAGTGACAAAGAGGTCGAAGAAGATAAGAGTGTTGGGGCAGTGGAGAGTGAGAATGAGAAGGAGGAAGAGGATGATCAAGAGAATGAGAAGGAGGAAGAGGATGATCAAGAGGAATTACTGCAAGAGTTACTTCAGGAAGTTGGGGGCTCTGTCAAACACACCCCTGTACCAAGCAGACGAAGGAGAAGTATCAGACTTGCTACATCCAAACCCAAACCCCTGCAATCTGAGCTAGTTATTGTTGAGTTGGATGATGATTCAACCAAAGTTTCTGAAGGAAGGGTCCCTCCTCATCCGTTCCAGAAGGAACTCCATCACCAACTCCAGTTCCATCCCCTGCTCACCACACCATACCCTCTCCACCTGCTTCCCAGCCTTATACTTCTGGTTTCGGATTCAGTGCTTTTAGCTCTGGTCCTAGTTCCTTGCAAATCCAGGAGGAACTTAAGCTTTTGTCCACTACACTTACACAGAGTATAATTCACCTTTCTTCTACAGTGGATAACCTGGCTACTAAAGTTGAGGGGCTGCAAGCCCAAATGATTTCTCTGGAAGATAAAATAAACGCTCTTATGGACTCCTCAACCCAGGAACTCAAAGCTAAGGTGAAGGACCGTTGTTACAAGACCATTCTTAATGCGATCAAGGATGTTCCCTTACCATGAAGCTACTACCATTTCCTACTCTTTGCCACCCATACCTACCCTACTATCTCTTGTGAATTATGAACAATGTTCTTTTGTTTAGTTTTTCTTTTGTTTCTTTTGGTTTTTTTTTTTTGGTTTGTTTTTTACATTTCGTTTTGGTTCGGTTTGAAATCAACTGGCTTGATTTGTTTTTGAATTTGATATTCTCATTTTGGTTGCATATGAACTGTGTGCGCATGCTTCATCGTTCATGAATTCAGATTAACTACTCCCTCCGTAGTTTAGTACTATATATAGCATGCTCTTTCTATCATTTTGATAATGTCAAAAGGGGGAAAAGAAGAACAAACTCAGAAAGCTGGACTCAAACCGCCTCCTCTTCAAGTCTTCATCGTTTAAGCAAAGGTATAAATTTCATAATTTATTAATTTCATGAATGATGCAGACTTCTTAATACTTAGTTTATTTTACTGTTTTGTTTATATAATTAGTTTATTCAGTTAATGGTTACGACATTTGCCTGGATGATTATTTTGTTTTAACCGAGTTTGTTTTTGTTTGTCATCATCAAAAAGGGGGAATATTGTTGAATTGACTACCTTATATTTTGATGATTGACTTACGTAAAACAAACTCTGACTAATGATGTTTAAAGAGTCTTGGTTAAGCAGAAGATTCAGGTTTGAAGTAATATGTTCCGGAGTAGGAACAACAAAGTTTGGAAGACTTGATGATCAATGCAAGCTTTCAAGATGTCCTCACGACTCTATATACTTAGTTACTCAGTGTACGAACTTAAGAAACAAAAGTGTTGGAAGGAACTAAGAAGAAACTCGAAGTTCCTGAAGGAACCTGAAGTTCCTGAAGGAACTTGACGGATGACTCAGAAAAGTTTTTAACAGTTTTCAAAATCCTTAATTTAAGGAAGAGATAAAATCAGTTTGAAAATATTGGGATAAAATCAGTTGAAAAGCTTTATTTTATAAATAAATAAAATCTAAATAATTCTTTAATTTAAAAGATAAATTTATTTTAAATTAATTAATTGTTTAAATATCTTTTTAATAAATAAATATTTATCTTTTTAATAAATATTCTTGTAAACTGATTTTTACTTGGTAAAATTCTGTTTGCTTAAAAACAGGATGCACGTTGGACTTGGGAGTCAAGTTAGTGAAATCATGTTTCTCAACTTCCTCCACTTACATCCCAACTTCCCAATATAGGTGAACGTGGGATTGAGGGGGAAGTAGGAACATGATAGAAGCTTGGATAATCTCCCTATAAAAAGAGATCAACGTGGCTTTTTGAAAGTGTGGAAAAGCAATTTTAAGTATTCTGAGCGTAGAGTTTCAAAGTGTTTAAACGAGAAGTTCCTTCCATCTTTAGTCTCTTAAGTTCCTTAGGAAACATTTGTAATCATTGTGTAGTTGGGATTGGGTTGTGAGAGTTGTAAAGTATGAGACTTGAGAGAGTTCTTTACACTGTACAAGTGATTCGGAGTAGAATCACAAAGTGTGAGAAACTGTGATTGAGGGATCACAGTTGGATAACTTGAGTTCCCCACGGAACTTGAGTCTAGGCAACGTATTAGTGATTGTAAATCATTTTTACATAGTGAATTTATTCATTGCCTATCTCAGTGTCTTTTCTCTTAGTAGTAGCTTTAATTCCGCAAAATTTACCATAGTCTACATACACTACAATTCACCCCCCCTCTTGTAGTATACATTGTTCTAACAGTATTTATGTAGACCTACGAGTAAATAAAAATGCAAGGCTATCTTCCTCAACTCTGTTTACTATGGGGTTGGGAACTTGGGATTGAATCTGTTATTTCCATATTCAATGACCAAGTTTGTTCCTTTTAAATGTGCTTAAGTTTCTATCATAGTGTCAGTTATACAGCCTTGCTTTGCCAAAACAGTTGTCAGTTTCTTTGTGCGACTGCTGACGAATCTAGTTCTATAGCTTTTTCTATTTGATATTGTTTCTCATTCTAATTCAGTGCATAAGCTCAAAACCAGTTATCCAACTGGCTAATTCAGCGCTTCAGTTCTAAACAGTTGTCTTGATTCTAGCTTCTTAGTTTGCTATCTTGTTCAACTTCCGACTGACTATGGTCTTGTATTTTCTGTGTCTGGTGTTTGTTAGGCTAGAGCATTGCTTGAATGGCATAGTACATCTCGATTTTGCGGGCAGTGTGGAAGTAAAACAATTCCCAGAGAAGCTGGTAAAAGAGTGCAGTGCTCAAATGAACTGTGCAAAAAGAGGATATATCCTCGTGTTGATCCAGTATGGTGATGCCAGTCTCTCATTCATTATGCAATGAAGGTGAACCGTTTGAATGTAGAATTAAATTCTTCCTGTTGTTTGTCCTGTTACCAGGTAGTCATTATGCTCGTGATTGACAAGGAAAATGACCGTGCACTTTTAAGCAGACAGTCGAGATTTGTACCTAGAATGTGGAGTTGTTTAGCTGGATTTTTAGAGGTTAGTACTCTGCAGAAATATGAGGACTCCATACCTCTCTTTTTTTCCGTATTTGTGATACATTTGTGCCTCCAATTTTGAGATGTGTGACATTATAAGAATCATTAGCTTCTCCTCTCCTTTGTGCTTTCTGCTTCAGTTACTCTGTACCTAAAATATCTCTTATCGAATAACATTTGTCTTAGCCTGGAGAGAGTTTGGAAGAAGCAGTGAGATGAGAAACATGGGAGGAAACTGGCATTGAAGTAGGAGAAGTTGTTTATCATAGTTCTCAGCCATGGCCTGGTAAGTTCTTTTGGAGCAGTTGTCTGAGTAACATCTCCTATTTGACTATTTTTTATGTTGTCATACTGTAATGATCATAGCAGATAAATTTCTGCAATCAGTTTCTTGTCTCAGCTTAACAAACTTTAACTTTTGACCTGTTCCAGTTGGGCCAAGCAGCATGCCCTGCCAGTTGATGGTAGGCTTCTTTGCTTATGCGAAATCTCTTGAAATAACTGTGGATAAGGATGAGTTGGAAGGTATGTTTTGCCACATTTTCTCCTATTTATTGTATCTTTCTTTCGCCATCCTCAGTTGGACATGAAAGTGAAAGTAGGATCTCAATACTTCCTCAGTTTATCATTACTTGCTGACTTGTTACACTACTTATGGGATCTCATTTTATTATTAATAAAGATAAAAATTAATGTAACTATTCAAATTGTTGTTGGGTTAATCTCAGTATAATTTTTAAAAATTGACTTTATAATTTCTTTTTTAAAAATATACTTCGTATAAATACTTGTAGTTATTGAGTCCAAGTTATTCGTTGGTAACCATGAAAGTCATAACGATTTATTTATTGAGAAACAGAGGAAGTATTACTTAGGTAAGAACTTACAATTAACTATTCTATACCTGATTAATGAATTGCGAACATCAGCTTACATCTGATCTGTTTTACGTCGCTAATGTATGTACGTGGTTGTTTAGATGCTCAGTGGCATAGCAGAGAAGATGTCAAGAAAGCTCTTACATTTGCTGAATATGAGAAGGCACAAAAAACAGCTGCTGCCAAGGTAGAGCAGATTTGCAAGGGGGTCACACAGAGTCAGAACCTCTCCTCGGACTTTAACACTGAAAGCGGAGAGCTTGCATCAATGGTTATACCGGGGCCTTTCGCAATTGCCCATCACCTCATATCTACTTGGGTCTTTCAAGGGGTATCAGAAAGCAGTTCTGACAGTCCACTTAAAGAGCCTAATAGTTCTCTTTCAAATCTGTAGCTGTTAACTTTTGCTTTCCTATTTTGCTTTGATTTTGTAGTTTATTGTGATTATTCTTATTCTGTCAGAAATAAATATTCTTTGCCTGTGATGTATATCTATATACTAGTATATTTTTTATGCGTAAAATGATCTAACAATCCCCTTCCCCCCTTTCCATGATCATTTTGTCCCATGACCTCATGAGCTCTCATAACCAGTCTGAGGACAGGAGGGTGCACTCCCACTGGGCTTCGCATCAGTGATAGAATTCTAATTACAACAATAAAATACCTGTCGTAGATGACATACTTGAGCTAAATATACCTTGGCACACTGGTGTCCTCTTCTCTTGGGAACGCATTTGCGATGATTGGGTCTCTGTACCTTGACTGACCCTAATAAGTAAAACCAATAATCTTGTAGACATTGTAGGGGAAATGTTCTTGTCATCAGCAACTTATTACGGAGTACGTGATTCTTTTTGTCCTGCAGGCTTCCCCCCTGCTCTCTCTTGTGGGAATATGCTTAAGCTTTTCCACTTTCTTAGTTAGGAAACAGAGCATTGAACAAGGTGTATAATGGTAGGAAAATTAGTCTCTTTGGAACTCCAGTCAAGTCATATGTTCCTCTGAAGTATCTGTTTTTAGTGTTAACAGTTGCAAATGGCTTTCTCTGAATATATAGTGCGAGCATTATATTGAGATAAATGAAAAAAATAAAGTGCTAACATTATTAGTAGACTGAAGGAGTATTTGCCTACTTCAATTTTCGTAAGTTCGCATGTGACTACATGTAAGAAAATGAACTTTCAAGGCTTCCTCTGAAAAGTCCTCATGGTGAGTGAGTAGACTCTTCATTCAAACTACCTAAATCTGGTCTGTTGCTGCATAATCGAGGCTGTTACTGAAATATGTAACAAATTGACTAGGAAAGAAATCACAATCATGTCTGATAGGAAAACAAATCACTCTCAATCTACGGACAAATGAATTAACCATCTATCAATCAACTGCTAATAGCAGTCGTTATGGTAATCACAATGACTTAAAGATCTGAGGATTAGACAAACTTTTGTGCAAGTCGATATTTTAATGATGGAATTTGTCACTAGAGCATTCCAATTTCAACTTGGCTGTTGTCTCACATGCCCTCAACGATAAGAAACAGTCTCAATAATTCATACTAGAACAATTTACATCTTAGTTGAGTTATTTCTGCCGTTCACTGAACTGTCACATACCAATAGAACTATGGACCCACTACTTCTGATGTCTCTATTCTAGGCATCTATCAAAGCATTACCAGAAATTTTGATTGGGTATATACCAGTTACCAATTTCCCTAGAAAAGTAGATGGTAACATGATGTCTAGAGAATTTTTTGTGTGCTAGGGAGAGATGATACCGTGGTTGTAACGACTGTACTGTTACAAACACTACTCTTTGCTTAGCACTTGCCCAAGTTATAACCGATGTATGTTTTATACATGACGGGGGTGTTTACAGACCGTAGGGACTTAATAGGAGGCATTTTCGAGGATAAATAGAACAGCAATTTTTGATTATTTGTTACTCATTACAGAGTAATTGATATAAATTTTTTGCTCATTACATCTATTCATTGGAGTTTGTCCTTGTTCACTAGTAAGGTTTCCCATCGGAGTTCATGTGGTCCAACCGTCCAAGTAGCAATGAAAGAGTAAAACTATGTACATCCGTGTCGCGGTGTGAGTGTATGTGCAATTTTCTTTCTTATGCTTCTCTTTTACTGCAGGGTTACTGCTTGATCTTTTAAGCCATGCCTTGCGGAGTTGCGGTATATTGTAACATAGATGCTCTTCTGACTATTTACGATAAATAAAATATCTACTGGTCTAATCTGTCTCGTTGATTGTTTGATACATAAAACCAAGCATTGAAGTTTGTAGGCCCTTGATAGTACAAAGAGGCAATAATTCAGATTCCTATACAACCTTACAATGTCAATAAAACCCCCCAAAACTTTGGGAGAGTACAAACCTGCCTTCAGTGTCTTCATTCTTTATGTTATTTCATGAATCTGTAATTACTCCTATTTTCAAATCTTGCCTTTTATTTTTATATATATATATTTTTCGGTGTTTTTAGTCTGTAGGAGAAAGAGTTCTGTTTTTTATTTGGCTGCAGACAAAAATCATTGATATTATAGTTTATGTACTCTGTATTAAGTATACCTGATGCTCAACTGGGACTTAGAGTAGGCATGGGATTGTCATTTGCTCCCCCGAATTATCCCTTGAATGTAATTCATGACGTAAATAAACGTACAAACAAGCCCTGCATGATAAAATCACTTCCTTCTTCATCTTCGGTTTCCTTGCAGCCCTCTTCTCTTCCTATAAAAACTGATCAAATCAAGAAAAATACATCAGAGCCTCAGAAATTTAACAGTTCCTCGAGTGCTTCTCCCTGTTACAGCCAAGAGAACACTGTTGGAATCATTGGAAGTGTGTCGGTTCTTACTACATTGATCTTCCTTGAGAAGTTTGTGCTATGGAGCTCAAGAGATAAACACGAAACTGTCCCTTTCATTGTCTGCAGTGATCCAACATCTCCTTCGAGCTGTGAGTACATTTCTGACAACAATGGTGGTAGCATCCCTTCAGGATTAGACCATGTTAGGATGGTTGAGAATTTGAGAGGTAAAAGATTGTTCCTTGAAGAAGGGGGAGCACGATGCATTGTCATGCCTTGCCATCTTTCACATGCTTGGTATGGTGAAATATCACAAGGGAGTAAGCAGCCTTTTCTTCATATGGCTGAGTGTGTTGCTTGGGAACTTAAGGAAGCTAAATTTAGGCCTCTGGAAGCTGGTAGCGGTGTCAAAGTTGGAGTTATAGCAACTGATGCTAC